AGAGCAAGGATATAGAATGTGAAATCTAAGGAACAGCAACATAGGCCATTTTAGCTGAAATATAGAGAACATGAGGAAGAACAAAATTAAATGTTTGAAAAGGGAGGCTGTAGCCAGATTGTGAGGGACTTTAAAAGCAAAATTGAAAAGTCTCTTTCTCCTAGAATCAAAAAGGACCTATTGAAGATTCTTAAGCAAGGGAGTAACCTGGTCAGACCTATGCTTTATGAAGGTGATTTTAGCATCAGTGTAGGGAACAGCAAATTAAGTAGGGAGAGATTGGAAGCAAGAAGACCAATTAGGAAACCATGGCAGTAGTCCAGGTAACAGGTTATGGGGATTTGACCTAGAGTGGTCATTATGGGAGAAGAGAGAAGAGGATGGATAGTAGAGATGCTATGAAAGTAGAATTCATAAGATTTGGCAATTGATTGAATATAGGCGGAGAGAGAACTGTCAAGAATAGATGCAGTAAGAGCATTTAATTATCATTGAAATAGAAACAAAAAAAACAATAGAAATAATACATTCAACATCCATTCTTCAAATAAATATACTCCTACTTGATTCCCGTGGTCTCCAGAATAGTGTGGGAAGAAAGCTTCCTCTCTCCAGATTCATTTCCCCACTCCCACCCACCCTTCCCCCCCCTTCCCCCCCCCAAAGCTAGGAAAAAAGGAAAGTCTCTGCAACCTATGATACATGAAATATAAGCTACTGACAACAGGGACTATTACACTTTTCTTTATATCCCAGAGCCTTTCACAGTGAATGAACAGCACATAGTAGGCATTAATAAATGCTTGATGGAATCCTGGCTATGCCACCAACAAGCTGTGTCACCTCAGAAAAGTTCCTTCCCCTGTCTATGCCTCAGTTTCCTCATCTGTCAAATGAGGGAACTGGACAAGATAATAATAAGAATAATATTTATATAGTTCTTTGAAGTTTTAAAAGAGCTTATCATAGGCTATATCACTGGATACTCATAACCTGTGAAGTAGGTACTATTACTATTCCTATTTTACAGATGAATAAACTGAGGCTGGGCAGCTAGGTGGCACAGTGGATAGAGCACTGGACCTGGAGTCAGGAAGACCTGTATTCAAATTTAGCCTCAGATACTTACTAATTGTGTGACCATGGGCAAGTCACTTGAGCCTGTTTGCCTCAGTTTCCTCATCTGTAAAATGAGCTGGAGAAGAAAATGGCAAACCATTCCAATATCTTTGCTAAGAAAACCCCAAATGGGATCATGAAGAGTCAGACACAACTAAAAGCTTCAACAACAACAACAACAACAACAACAACAACAAACTGAGCCTGGGAGAGGTTAAATTGTTTACCCAGAGTCACATAGCTAGGAAATACTTGAAGAAGGATTTTAGCCTGAGAGGCAGAAAAAATGGTATCTCTGATGAAAGAAATGAGGTAGGTAGGAAGGAATTATTGATTTGGTTCTCAGGACCTTGTACAAAGCCTTTCCTAAGGTCAGAAGTATGACTGGATCTGCATGAGGAGATAGCTTGGTCGTGAGTTCTTTTGTTTTGCTAGAGCTGCCTACTCCATTGAACTGCCTACCCAGGGAATTCCTTTTAAAGTGAGCATGTGCAGAATATGGAATTAGCTCTAAGCATTCTGAGCAGCAGGTATCTCTTTTCATATGGGCCAGATTCATATCTGAAAAGTCATGTAGTTATTGAATTTGTATAGATTAGAATATTTTAAAATATTTGAAATACAGTGGAGAAGTTTATTACATTAGTGCTGGATCCTTTTGTAAATTGAAAAACATAAGGTAATTAAGTACCCCTCTTATACGAATTTTCTTGAAGTAAGGTATCTAGAGCACCCCCACGTAAAAGCTTTACAGGTTCCCGACTATTTCTTCCTCTGTATCTTATCAACAATTTCTGTGTACAAGTAACTGTGTGGAAGATTCCTTAAAAAGTCTCATTGAAAATACATCCTTGTGACAAAAATGCAGGCTTGAAGTTATAGAGGTCTGCACTATGAATAGAGTATTTATTATATTGCAATTTCCCTATCTGCTTATAGGAGGAATTATTACAGTTATGAAAGTACATCCTCACATACTGTTAGGGGAAAAAAGAAAACCCATGAAATGATGCTGAGTAATTCTGTCACCCTAAAGATGTCAGGAGAGATGGTGATATTTTAAAACTCTTTTTAAGAGAGCAGTACAGAACATTTAGTATGAGAAATACAAAGGGTTCTCTGGTTTGTGGGTGTGAAAATGTATGTTACATATTAGAGGAAGCAAAAGAGAGAGTTCACACTAAAACATGCTTTACATTTTCATAGCAGATTTCTGGTTTTAGATGCATATTGGTTTAATGGGAAAATTAATATCATATATGCATCTGCTGCCAAGGGAATATAAGCCACATTAGTAAGGTGTGAACTTGATAATTTCTCCATCTCTAAATCCCATGATCTATGAGTAACCAAAAAAAACTACTGCTTTTCCCTTCTTGATGATGAACCATATATTGTATCTTCAGAGAACAACAAAAATCCTTAAAGTGATAGAGCTGGATTTCTTAAAAAGTGAGACATTGAATGTAAATTATTTAGTAATACTGTACATATTTTTTTCCCTTTGGAAGTCTTGGCAAGATACCAAATTGATAATCTTTATATCTTACTTAACTTTCAGAGCTATTAACATATTACAATATAACTCAGATTAGTTTTGCCTGATACTGTTTTGTTTTTTAGATTTATTTAAGCAGGGCAGGTTGATGGTATAATGAATAGAGTAGATTTGGAGTCACAAATATATTGTCACCTAGTGGTCAACATTCTGGCAAAGCGCCTCTGCAAAGTTAGCGAAGGCTGGTCTTCCAATAATATGTGTAATCTTCACCAGTCCCCATACATGAATGTATGGACATTCATTAAACTCTTACTATGTGCAAAGTATTGTTCTAAGCATTGGAAATACAAACAGAAAAGCGAAAAAAAAAGATTCTTGTCATTTAGGAGTTCATTTTCAGTTTTTTTAAAATTAATTTATTTTGATTTATCAACAATCACTTCCATATGCTTTTGAGTTTAAAATTTTTCTCCCCCTTCCTCCACACCACCCTCCCCAAGACAGCACACAATCTGATATAGGCTATACATATACATTCCTATTAAACATATTTTCACATGAGTGGTGTTGTAAGTAAGAATTAGAACCAATAGGAGGAACCACCAGCAAGAGGAAACAAAACTCAACAGAAGAGAAAAAAATAGCAAATAGTATGCTTCGAACTGCATTCAAATTCCGTAGTTCTTTCTTTGGATGAAGATATCATTTTCCATCACGAGGCCTTTGGAGATGTCTTAGATCCTTGTATTGCTGGGAAGGGTTAAGTTTATCAATATTAGTCATCACACAACATGGCTGTTATTGTGTACAACATTCTATTGGTTTTGTTCACTTCACTCAGCATTAGAACATACAAGTCTTTCCAGGTTTTTCTGAAGTCAACCTGTTCATCATTTCTTATAGCACAATAGTATTTCATTACATTCATATACCACAACTTGCTCAGCCATTCCCCAATTGATGGGTATCCTCTCAATTTCCAATTCTTTGCCACCATAAAGAGCTGCTACCCAGCAATAGCGCTTCTAGGGCTATATCCCAAAGAGATCATACAAATGGGAAAAGGATCCACATGTAGAAATTCATTTTCTAATGAGGGAGAAAATACAAGGGTGTTTTCAGCTATAAATCAAATGGAAAGGCCCTAGTTTTCCTTAGGATGGAGCAGCAAAGCTGTTGTTAATATGTTCTTTAGAGTTACTTGGCTAAAAATAGAACTATTGGAAGCAGGATTCAGATTTAGTTAGTTGCGATTTCAAGTTCAATGCTCTATCAACTCTAACATCTAGCTACCCGAATCTTAATGATTAAAAAAATCAGGCAAAACTGTTTTGAGCAATTGTGTAACATGTTAATAGTATTGGAAGTTAAGCAGAGAAACAAAGCTTCTCAAATAAAACTGAGTCACCTGAGAATACAAAGACTTTGATGAGGGAGACCTTTGTTTTCTAGGTCTTCAGTAGCTGAAGCTACTTGAGGTGGTAGATTCTACAACAGATGACACCTTCTCAGCTGGTGCTCCACTGGCATAGGGCTTGAGAACCCCTTGTCATTTCCACACCTAGATAAAACATCACAGGAGACATTAGTGGAGGTTCTATGTCATATATGTCATGCAAAACTATAAAAGCAAAAATGTTACATAAATAATAATTGGTTAGATTTTGTATCAGATGCTGTTTTAAAAATCAATAAATTACATGTTATTCAGATCAATTATTTGGATTACCCTCACCTAAATTTGAACTGAGTCAAAATACATACACATACATTTCCCCTTAATATATATATATATATATGATTCATTATTAAATAATTTATCATTTCTCTACACTTTTCATGCTCAATCTAAGAACAACAGTCTCTTTCCTTATAAGTGAGATAGATTAATTCATGAGTTTGTGCATTTCTCTTCATAATAAATAGTAGATTTTATTGATTTTAAAAGAATTTTCAAGAAACCCCCCTTTACCCAAACCAGTTGATAATGAGGAAATGGTGATGTGCATCAGGAAAGGGAGCAATGAAAACATAGATCCATCAAAATAAAGAATTAGTAAAAACATTAAACATGATTCCTGTTATTTTTTTCAGTTCACTTCCATAGTTTTTTTTTTCTGATTAGCCTGCTCATTACTCCCTTCCAGTGTTTAGGTGAATTAAAAACAAAAGCCCTGGTGCCATGTATGCTTATATGCCTTCAAAATTCCTTAATTGTTTCATAGCAGACATACAGCACCCATGTAATCTTATTACCTTCCTTCTCTCCTTTTCTAGAGTGACCACCTCTGGTGAAAAGAGAAAGATGTAGTTTTCTCATTCAGTCAAGTTTTAATCCCTGAGAAATTGTCATCAGAATTCTGTCAAAGAAGGTTCCACTTGTTGACATAGACATATGGAAGTCCAAAAAGCCACATAAAGGTAATTACCTTGAACTATATTTGAATTGTCATAGATTTATAAAGTTGTATGTGTTTCTTCAATAATATCTTATTCTATACAGCCAATGTTTAATATAAATGAAAGTATTGTTATTCTTAAAGCAGCTAGGTGATGGAGTAAATACTGAGTGTCAGGCCTGAAGTCAGGAGGACTCATCTTCTGAGTTCAAACCTGCCCTCAAACACTTACTAGCTGTGTGACCCTGGGTAACTCACTTAACCCTGTTTGCCTCAGTTTCCTCATAAGTAAAATGAGCTGGAGAAGGAAATGGCAAATCACTCTATTATCTTTGCCAAGAAAACCCCAAAGGGGTATAAAGGGTTGGATACAACTGAAATGACTGAACAGCAATGAAAATTGTTATTCTTGCCTACTTAATGGCAAAGAATAACTACCCTTAATTATTCTGAGCTGTACTTGTTAAGAGTATAAAATGGCTATATGTCCCTGGACAAATCGCTTCACCTCTTAGGGCTGCAGGCAACTTTCTAAGACTATAGGTGCAGAACAGTTGCCAATCTGCATTGGCAAAAGGAGTTTTCTCATGTATAGTTCCCCAACACTAATGAAATCATAGATTCAGACAAAATAATAGACTGTAGATTGGAATATCAGTTTTATACACTGTTTCTAGGCACAGATTCAAATATGATTATATTAAATATAACATAAATCCCTATCCTCTGTAACACAATATATTCATATTAGAATGTTCATAATAATGAGTTAAAATTAATTAAATTATTTACTTCATAGAATCTTAAAGTTGGAAGTAACTGCAGAGATCATCTCACCCCTTGTAAAACTTCTTTCTATGATGACTCTACTTGGTCTAGATTGTGTTTGAACACTTCCAGTGATGGAGAATATAATATCTCCATAGGCAGTGCATTCTATAGTCCAGTCATATTCTATAGGTATCTCTATTAGTTGGAACTTCATTAAGCAAAGCTAAATTTTCACCAACTGTAGCCATGCAAAATAAACAATCTATCAACAACCATCCAAATATTTTAAGATTGTTTTTATCTACCTCTCCCACCAAGTCTTTTATCTTTGAGAATTGCATGGAAAAAGAATGTCATCCAAAAAGCATTTTCTTCTATTGCCACTGTCTTTCTCCTTTATATGTATGCCTTTTATGTAGAAAAATTAACAGGACCATGACTTTGGGGCTTCCATATATAGCTTAAAATTGCCTTAAGACTTTTGGGACACCCTGTGTTGCTAGAGAGCAGCATTGGCTAACCACAATTCAAGTGAACAAAGAACCGCATTCAAAGTCAAGGAGTGTTTAGAGCCATGTTCACCTCAATACCATAGGTTATAATGTGCTTTCTTAGTCAAATAAAGATACATAGTTATTAAATTGCTTATGTTTCAATAGCAGATTTTCCTTATCCAATTTGAGCCTTGGTGTCATCTTCTTAAACAATAATTTTCAATCTAAGTAAATGTTTTTTCATTACCCACTATTTCAAAATCCCTTGCCACTGAGAAACAGGGAATTTACATAGGAAGATGAGCAGAAAAATCTTATAAAGACCTACCCAAAGAATGAGTATTTGACTCCTGTTTGGTTGACTTAGGAATAATAACAACACATGATTTTATAGTACTTTAAGGCAATACTGTGCAGTTAAAAGCACCAAACTTGAAAGTCTAGAGGACTTAGGACTTAAGTCGAAGGTCTGATGTTTACCAGCTATGTGACAGTGGGGCAAGTCATTTAATCTCCCAAGCCTCAGTAAATCACATCTTGCACCTTAACCAGTAGGCTTAGTATGATGATTTGGATGATTTGGTGTCCAGGTAATAGTCTAAAGAGAGTTCCTCTGGGTAGTGATCACAACTAAGACCAGTAGTAAACATGAGAAGCCTTCTGTCTGAAGGTATCTCTGGTATCTTGCTCACTTTTTTCTAAAGGTTATTTTAAAAATATGTTTAATGAGTCATTTTACTGCCATGTAGTTCCTTAACTAACCATTCAGGAAATTTATGCTATTCAGAGCTCTGCCACTAACTAAATATGTGAACTCAACCTCCTCCCCTCTCCATTCTTCAGTTTTCTCAACTGTGAAATGACAGGGTTGGACAATATCTTGCCACCCTTGAGCTCTAAGTCTATCTGTGCTAATTCAGTGCTGTCATTTGGTCCAATTCAGTTAAAAAAAAACAAAACACCGAAATGATTATCTACTATGTGCAAGGCAAGATGACCACTTGGGATCAGTAGCTAATGTTAAGATTTTGGTCCTGAAGCTAAATTTTTGGAAAGGCAATCTTAATCTTTGTCCATTACAAAATAAGCAAATCTTTAATGACAAGAGACCTCATCTTTTCAGGGGATATTCCTGAAACCCCTCCATTGCAGGGCTATATTAGATGGAATATATATATATGTATATATTTATGTATGTATATGTATATACATACTCATGCATATATACATATATATATAGATGCACACACATGCACACGTGTGTACACACACACTCACACTAATCTTCCCTGATAGGATATAAGCCCCTTGAGAGAAGATAATTTCTCGGTTTTTTCTTTTTTATTCCCTGCACCTAACACAGTGCCTACCACTTAATAACTATTGGTTGATTGATTCTATAGCTTTCTATTGGGTAGATAGAGAAGATCCTTCCCTGATTTTTCTCTTGGCCAGCAGAGAGGCTCCTTCCTTCAGTAGCACTAGCTGATCCTTTCTTCGTTGATTTCATTGGTCTTACTTGTTCATTTAAAAATTTTGTTGACCATCTCCCACATTCCCCTCGTTCATGTTAGTGTCTGTCATGAAACTGCCAGGTACAGCTTGGGCCCTAGCAGATCCTATAAGCAATCTCTTCCCCCTGCCTCCGTGCCCCAAAGACAAGGGCTAGGGAGAGTTTACAGGATATAGATAAAGCTGCATGAGAAACTGATCTTTCAGCTTTTGTCACAGCTCACATATATCTTACTGGCAGATCACTGCATAGAAGGGGCATTTGGTCTCTGGTCATTCTGAAAGCAGCTTCTCTCAGATCACAGCTCAAAGCACAGCCAGGGCTCTACTGATCTGAACTTGGCCTGACATTGACTAAGGAGGAAACTCTCTCACTTTTCCCCTTAATTCATCCCCACCGTGACATTGTTGTTGAACTCTCCCATCACTCTCAGCCCAGCAGCATTAGCTCTCTGCCATCATCACTCTCAGGCTGGTCTCTAACCAGTGACTACACCAAACCCCAGGAGTGAACCTCTAGCCAGATGCTTTTAAATAAGCCTGGAGAATTGCAAGCACCTGCTTCCTCTGTTCCCACCCCCACCCCGGCGACATACACATGCACTCAGTCTCCTGGCACACAGCAATTCGCCCTTCCTCTGACCCACAGTAATCCCAGTTCCTAACAAAATCCCTCCTCCCCACCACATACCCCCTGCCCCTGCACCTAGCACAGTATTTTGCGAATAATGGTTTTTTTATAATGGTTCATTTAAAAATTTGCTAATAATGGTTCTTTTAGTTAGATTCAAAAGATAAATTAGAATTATAAGTTGTACACCATATCCTTAGGGCTCTAGTTGAGGAGGCTAGAGCTATACACAGGGAACAGTTAAATAACAACTGGAGGCAGTGAGTGATAGAGCAGAAAAACAAATGGTCCATTTAAAACATATTGCAATTCAGAGAAGAGGTTGGGGGGCGGGGCATGACAGAGATCACTGGAAAAAGACTTCATAGAAAGGGCTGGTGAACATGATATAGATGGGCAGTAGAAGGAGGACATCTCAAACATGGCAAACAGAATATTTGAAAGCGTGAAGGAAAACAGCAGTAATTATAATCCTAACTTTCTTATTTTTTTACATTAATTTTTTTTAATTCGGAGTTCCAAATTCTCTCCTCCCTTCAGCTCCTCCTCCCACTTATCAAGAACAAAAGCAATATGATATCCATTATATATGTGAAGTCATGTAAAATATATTTTCACATTAGAATGGCTAACATCTATTTAATGATTTAAGGTTTGCAAAACAAATAAGTTAGTAAAACTCTGTGAGGAAGATACCATTTTTTTAGGCAAGGAAATTGAGTCTGTATTACCATTTTACAGACAAGTAAACTGAGTATGAGAAAGGAAAAATTACTTGCCCAGGGTCACACAACTAGTGAGTATGTGAGTTAAGAATTTAGCTCAGGCTTCCTGAGTTTCCTAGGTAACTAGGTGACACAGTGGTTAGAGCACTGGGGCTAGAGTCAGGAAGACCTGAGTTCAAATCTGACCTCAGACACTTACTAGCTGTGTGACCCTGAGCAAGTCTCTTAACCCTGTTTACCTCAGTTTCCTCATCTATAAAATGAGCTGGAAAAGGAAATGGCAAACAACTCCGTAACTTAGCCAAGAAAACTCTAAATGAGGTCATGGAGAGTTGGGCACAAGTGAAATCACTGAACAACCATGATAACTTCCCGCTGCAATACAATGCTGTATCTACTGCCCAGTGGTATTGTACTCAAATAGAAAGGAGGGCAATTAAACTGCCCTTCATGATCCCTGCCAGTGGATTTTAAGTTAGAAAACCACATATTAACATTATCTATGTTTTATTGTAGTTTTTATTTTTTTAAACATCTCCCAATTACATTTTAATCTGATTCTGACTAACCTCAGGAATGCTATGGAACATATGCTTGCTGCTCCCAGTCTAGGTGTTTTGACATCTCTGCACTGCATTTTAGTGAACAATGCGCCTCAATGAACAGACCTTGTCCCAAATACAATGAATTCAGTCTACTTGCTGAAGAGATTGCTAAGAGCTGAGAAGTTGTGGGAAATAAGCAAAAATCAAGGTCAAAGGATACATACAGCTTTGAGTAGCAGGCAGAGAAGTTCCCACTTACACAGGGAACACCTTAGAGGTTTTTGAACAGGGAAGTGACATGAGGTTGTCAGGGTTCTGTTCCCTGTAGTATGATTTCTGGTCAG